TTCCAAAACAAGCTAAAGAATATTTTATCCCTATCACTCACAATACTAGTAGGCAACCCATGTAGCTTATAGATGTTTTCCATGAACAATCTAACAACTTATACATCAGTAAAAGGATGAGAAAAAGATAAGAAATGTGCATACTTGTTGAACCTATCCACAATAAAGAAGATTGTATTCTTCCCTTCAGACTTGGGAAGACCTTCAATGAAATCTATGGTTATATGATCCCATGGTCTAGACGGAAGTGGAAATTGTTGCAGTAGCCCCAGATATGCTATATGCTCTCCCTTACACCTTTGACAAACATCACACTCCAGAACTACCTTTTTTACATCAACTAGAAGAGAGAAGGCCAATGAAAGATAGCCTTAATCATTTGCATAGTAGCAGTAACTCTAGAATGACCTCCCAGACCTAAAGAGTGAATTTGTTGCACCAATTATTGCCTCAATTAAGTACCATTTCCTACCAACAACTTGCCTTTATACTTCAGCAATCCATTTTGTAGGGTCATATTGGTTACTGCAACAGGATCAACAAGCACTTGAGTCATGACTTGGGTTACTTCTTGGTCTCCATCATAGCTGTTGTTGATATCTTCCATCCATTTTGGCTGAATTTGAGAAATTACACAACACTCATCACCAACATCATGCATCCTAGAGAGTGCATCAGCCACATTGTTCTCAGTACCCTTCTTGTAATGTATCTTATAGCTAAGGCCTGTCAGTTTTGTCAATCCTTTGAGCTAAAGAGAGGTAGTGATTTTTTGGTCCTGAGGAACTTGAGACTTAAGTGATTAGTTCTGATGATGAAGTGGTTTGGATGTAGGTAGTGTCTCCATTTATCAAATGTATCAATAAGGCTATCAACCCTTTTTTCATACGTTGACAGGCCTTGATACTTCTTGCTTAGAACTTGATTTAAGTAAGCCACTACTTGTTTATTTTGTAAAAGTACAACACCAACTCCAGTACCACATGCATTTACTTCAACTATAAAAGGTTTGCTAAAGTCGGGTAGTGTCAGTAAATGAGTAAAAATCATTATCTTATTCAGTTTTTACAATGCCTCAATTGCTTCTTCACTCCATTCAAATGCTCCTTTCTTAAGTAGAGAAGTAAGAGGTCTACTGAGCTGAGCACAATTTCTTATAAACCTTATGTAATAACCTGTATGACCAAAGAATCCTCTCAATTCCTTAATAGTTTTTGGTTGAGACCATTCCAACATTGCAACTACCTTGCTAGAATCAGTATCAACTCCCTTACTAGTGATCACATGTCCTAGATACCGATTTTATCCTGAGCAAAGGCACATTTTGATCTTTTGGAAAAGACATGGCTTTCCCTTAATAGCTACAACACAACTTGCAAGTGTTTCAGATGATCCTCAAGAGACAAACTATATATCAGAATGTCATATAAAACTAGTAAGTATGAACTTTCTGAGATATGGCCCAAAGAGTTGATGCATGAGAAATTGAAATGTTGTAGAGGCATCAGTGAGGCCAAAAGGCTTCACCCTAAATTTTCAAAAGACCATGGTGAGTCCGGAATGCAGTTTTGTGCTCATCATCAAATCTCATTCTTACTTGATGATATCTAGATCTAAGATCCACATTTAAGAACGCCTTTGATCCATGGAGCTCATCCAAGAGGTATTCTACCAGGGGGATAGGGTATTTGTGTTTTCATAGTCAGAGAGTTTAATATTCCATAGTCCACACAAAACCTCCAAGTATTATCTTTCTTCCTCACAAGTAATGCGGGAGAAGCCAAATAGGAGTGGCTGGGAATCACTATTTGAGATTTCAATATCTTTCCAACTATGTTTTCAATGGCATTATTTTGATAAAATTAATACTTATAGGGCCTCAAATTGAAAGGTTGAGCCCCCGATACCAAGGGTATTGAATGATCACAAGTCCTAGAAGGTGGCAACCCTTTAGGCTCTTCATAAAGATATAAATGTCCTGATATAGCTGCAACAACTTAGTAACTTTTTTAGGAAGTTCTGTTTCACTTGTGGACATATGAACTGTATTGTGGATGCAGATAGCAACCACAATGCCCCCAGATTACTTAAGAAACACTTTCTCCAATTTGTCCTTGTCTATTGTAACCAGTTTGGGATCTTCTTGATGACTCAACAGAGTAACCCAAGTGTCACCTCTGAAAAATGATATACTGAGGGGTATAGTGTATAACAACATAGGGGTAACCAAGTTTAACCAATCCATGCTTAAAACCAGGTCACATTCACCTACTTGTAGCAACCTTACATTAAAATAGAAGGGTTCCTCGTGCATCTTCCCATAAAAGTTAGGACAAATGGCCCCATTGTACATATATAATCTCCATTAGCTACCTTCACTTTCATTGTAGCATAACTAGGGATTTCCTTATATCTAAGGACCTTGACTATTTGTGGATTCACAAAACTATGAGTAGGCCCACAATCGATCAAGATTGTGATAGATAATTTCTTAGCATACTCCTGAATCTTTATGGTTTTAGAGGAAGAGCTTGTCGTCCTCATAGCTACACATAATGATATCTCACACTGCTCTTCTTCAGGACTCTCCTCCGTTCCCACCTTATTTTTAACTCCACTACTTTCCCCTTCCTCCTAAATAGCTTGCACTTGCCCCTCTGGTTACTCCACTTCCCAAGAAATAACATTCAATGTTTTAGGTTTACACCGATGGCCAAGATGGTATTTCTCCAGACATCTATAACAAAGTCCTTTGTCTCGTGGTACATCAGAAAGTTGGTTTGGTTTGAAGGAACTCTGGATTTGGGGACCAAAGCTCTGTTGTTTGAGTTCTAGGAATTGGTTCCTTGATAGGGTATAATGGCTCTGGAAGTAGGTTGGGCATTGTTTGGGATATAGATTATTCTGGGATTGGTGGATCTAAGTAGGGCTTTAAAAGAGGCTTCATAAGAGTTAGCAAAGTCAAATGCATCCATAAGGAAAACTAGATTTGCTAGTCCTACTAAAGGTTTTAATTTGGATTTAAGGCAGTGATATAGTTGGAAATAAAATGAATATCATTCAAGAGAGGTTTTACCAACAATATGTATGAATTTTAGCTCCTCGAACTTCTCCTGATAACTTTTCACACTACCTATTTGTTTAAAGTTGTTAAATTCATCCACAATATCAATGGGTCTCACACTCCCAAACCTCATACAAAATTTTGCGCAAAACAAGGGTAGTTAGTCCGCTTATTCTTCAGAATATGTTTATCAAACTATATATCTGCCTTGTCTTTCATATACACAACCACATAGCTCATTTACTTATTTAGGGGTCTAATAAATTTCAAAAAACTGCTCACATTTACAAATCCATCCCTTGGGGTTAAGACCATTGAACTCAGAAAAGTTTATCATGGCTTTAAAGGGTTATGAATGAGGGTCTGCATTGTTTACAGCTGGTGCAATGATTGGTAAGAGAAGTAAAGGAAGGTTAGTTGCTGATACAATCATAGTGGTCAATGGAACAATGTTCCTAAAGGGGATTGGAACTGGAAATAATAAGGATGTGACAATGGTAGTAGGTGTTTGAGGTGTGTTTGGGTTGGCCATTAACAGAGGAAAACTGAAACCCCTGCCTACATGGTAGCTAGTTGGAGTTGAAATCGGGGTTACCTGAGCCTAAGTGTTCGAAGTTTGCTCAGATTCTCGCACAATTAGTGGTCCTTGAGCTGAAGGCACCATTTATCTAGGAGAAGCAATGGTTTCTGCCCTCTTCAAGGCGTCGCGTTGAGAAACAATTAATTCCAGCCTCTAGTTCGTCTCTTGTGTTTCCCTTAGTTGAGAAGAAATCTGATTTCGATTGGATTCCAGTAAATCAAAACGCTGCGCATTATCCGTAGCCAAGGATTCCAGCTGGATTTTGAGTTTTTTCATGCCTTCTTTAAGGCCCTTGAATATTTGAGCGTCAACCATCGTTATCCGCAAGAACCAAATGACTCTGATACCAATGTCACGAGATGAGTTATAAACAAGCTCAGCCGTGAAGAAACAGAGTTAGAGAGAAGAGAGGAAGAACATAGAGAGAAATTGGATAATATTTTTGATAACCGTAAAATGCGTACATCTGCCATCTAAATGGGAATCCAACATTGGATTCTTATGTAACAACCTATTACACCATTGACTAACACATGTCCCTCCTGGAAGGAATTTTATGGGACTTAATTGTAAAAACAAGAAAATAAAGGTAAGGACTAAACTGAAAATAGTACTCTCTCTGTTTCAATTTAGATGATACATTTTTCTTATTAGTTTTCAAAAACAATGACATATTTCTACAATTGAAAATAATTTAGCTTTAAATTCATCACTTTATCTTTAATGAGAAATTTTTATAACCATACAAATGTCGTGGTCCCACAAAACTTTTACTCCTTAGGCTTTTAAGATCACAAATTAATTTCGAAAGCTTTTTTTCCTTAAACTCCGCTATCGCATCTAAATTGAAATAGAGGGACTAAGGATCTCTACTAGCTAAGCTATTCGTGACACAATCACCAAAAACATTGGGTCTTCTGCTTTTTATCGCACATATGAAGAATATAGAATACAGTAATCTTATATTAGTGCATGCTCAAATTAGATAATACATAAGATAGAAAAAAGTCAAGAGCCGTGTTTCTTTATGAACCATAGTTTCTTTGTATTTGTCATTAAATCCATTATCCATGAATTTCTTTTTTGTGGCACGGAGGAATTCTCAGACATACCCCACACAGAGACACACTACTCCCATTAGTTCTTCTCTCTATTGAGGTGTTCCCCCCATAAGCCATAGGTCCAATGGCCACCGTATCCCCCAAGTTAGCCACCGGCATTCTCCACATCCCATCTCACCCCCACCCCCACCCCCACCACCGCAAACCACCTTCCCTCTTCCCTACAGCCACCAATAACTTCAGTTCATTCACAGCCAACAGTAGTAGTAGCAGCATTAGAAGTAGCAATGCTAAGGTGAACAGGCTAACATGCAAGGCTACAGAGGTTTCAGTGGCGGAGGGGTCGTCGGCGTCGGGCGGAGGGGATAATGGGAAGTTCAATTGGGTGCCAGTGGTTCCGCTGTCAGCACTGCCGAAAGGAGAGAGACGTGTAATTATACAAGATGGTGAAACTATACTGTTGCTTTGGTATAAAGATGATGTTTTTGCTATTGAGAATCGTTCCCCTGCTGAAGGTGCTTATAGTGAAGGCCTCCTTAATGCCAAGCTCACTCAGGTCACCTCTCATTTTCTTTCCTTTGTCTAATTTATTAATTTTACTTTGTTCATTTCTAACTCTTAATTATTTTACTCATTTGTATTAATATGTTCTTTGCTGATTCTCTCTCAGTGCCATAATTAATCTCTTTGCTAGGTTAGTTCAGTTTTTCTGAAAATAAGATCTCCACATTTAGAAATGAGCCGAAGAGCTAACTGCATAAATTAAGGCTGACTACATAACACATTTAATAATCTTGTTTAAAGATCAATTCCTGGAAGCCAAAGGAGACAAGAATTATGGGTTGGAAGGAGTAGTTGATTGGGATTATAATTTCTATATTGATCACATTTGGTTGCTCTCTTTCAGTTTAGTCAAAGAAACATTGTGATTAAACAAACCCCATTTCCTAAATGCTCCTCTTTTAGTGTTTCGTATGTGAAATTATTAATCTAGTGAAGTTATCTTGTGTAAGTTTCTTCCTCTGCCTTATCTTGTGATTATGGCCAATTCAAACACAACTTTGGGGATAGTTTAGCCATTTAGGTGTAGGAGGTTCCGTTTTTGCTACCGTCTGCATGATGATTGGTGAATGGATGCAAGATTAGTTGCGTCTGTATTCGGGAACTCAAGTTAGTGAGCGTGACCAAGACTATCCAATGGCCCTTGTCATTTACATTGATTGAGCTGGTTGCTGTTGGTTTCTCTATGTGAATGCTATAGGGGAAATTACGATTTCCTAGATGCCAGTGGGGGTAGCTTTTTTCTTAGGAAAATAACCATTGCAAAATAAAGTGTAGAAAACACCAAATTTAGGCTCATTTGAACAATTATGGAGGGAATACTCTGTGGAAGCTTTTAGTGTAGTCTTATTTGACAGTTTTTAAGGGTCTGGTATCCGTATTCTTCTTACCCTTGCTACTATCCCAATGTAGTAGTTCATTAGTGATCGAAAAAAGTCAAAAACTTTATCCAATGTGTTAAGAAAACATGTATTTGTGTCTAGCTCAACTTCAGAAGCCAGCTCATAAGGTAAGATTTGTCCTAAACCAGACTAATACCATACCTTTAAACATTGTGAGCCTCTAACGCTCTATGCATCCTAGGGTGGACCCTGGTGCATGAATAATATAACATGGGAACTAACATCAGGAATGGTCTAGCTCAAATATCATGTTAACAAAAATTGACCTTGAACACTAGTTCAACCTCAAAAACCAGGCTTATTGGGTGAAGATTTTCCAAAACCATATAAACAGACTGCCACCCCATACCTTCAACCCATGTTGGACTCTAAGAGAATGCTAGTTGCCATGGCTGATATAGAGCCTGTTTGGCTTAGCTGATTTAGAGTAGCTGATAAGCATTAGATGCTGAAAAGCACTTTTAAGTGCTGAAGTTGATTTAAAAAATAAGCAGTTATGTGTTTGGATAAAAGTGCTGAAATTAATAATAAGCAGCTGAAGAACTGGGTATACGAAGAGTTTTGTTTTAAAAAGAAGTATTGTAGGGATAGAATAGTAAATATTTTGGTCAAACCTAAAGTGCTTATAAGCTGAAATTTGATAAGTTGGGGGAGACCAACTTATGACTTTTGGCTTATTTTTGACTTATAAGCACTTAACTTATAAACACTTTTAATTTACCAAACGCGTAGATAAGCCAAAAAGTGATGATAAGCCAGTTTGACCAGCTTATAAGCTTAGCCAAACACCCTCATATTTGTCATGGAAGTTGTGGATCTTCTCTTCACAAGGTTGGATTGAGGGGCCAAGTACGAGTAAGTGGAACTCTTGTTTACTTTTTAGGAATTGTTTTTGTTCATCATAGAGTCCTCTTCCAACTACTTTCAGTCAGTAAATCAAAATTCTGCACAGCTACGGGTTTATGCATTACATGTGCGTAGATGTGTTTGCAAGCTGTATTGGAGTACCTTTGAACATCTAATTTCCTTTCTATCTACTAAATATAAACTGCAGAAGAAGCTAGGAAATAAATTCATATTGTTATTAAGCACGTGAGTTGCCCATGGGAATAAGTTAACTGATACGACATAATGCACGTGAGGGGCACATAGGAGCCTGTTAATTTTTTGTAAATAATGCCTTTGAGGGTACATTGGAATCTGTTAATTGATACTATGTAATTAATCGCATGGCTAGTTTGTTAGATTGCTAGAATGGTTGTTATAACTGCCTTCCGAGCTTGCTTCTATTGAGCTTTCATTGAAGGCGCGGAAACTTCTATTGAGCTTTCATTGGATTTTGGAATTATAATGCAATTTCTATCTTCTCCCTCGATGCTATTCTCTCTAATGTTCTTCGCTGTCAATTCAATTAGGATATCTGTGCAGTAATAATTCCATTCCCTGTTCCTTAGGAGCACCACATCTGTGAATTTTGGTTTGAGTTTGTATTACTCCTGCAGGACTTCACTTAAACTTACAATTGATGCATGACGTTACACAGTTAGTAGGAAACCTCTAAGGTCTGCTGTTCATGACATGACTACTCTAGCATTCTGTTCTCCATAGATTTTTTTCAGCCTAAAAGTATAAAATTTTCTGGATTCTAGTAGAGTTTAAAAGTTTATGGCAATTATATGTTTCGCTGAAAAGTTAAAAGTGGTTAGACAACAGATGAAATAAGATATGGTGAAAAGACTTTCTCAAAAAAAAAAAAAAAAAAGATATGGGAAAAAAAAAAAAAAAAAAAGATATGGTGAAAAAATGGCAAACCATTAATTCATTTCATTTACATAGAGAACGTTGAAATGCTACATTTTTCCAACAATATACAACTAGCCAGTAGCCGGGATGTCACCCTTACCAGTTTTTTAGTTCTACGTAACGTAGGCTACTAAATGAAGGTGCTACTATAAAACAAAAAAAAGTGCTTATTCGAATGCGCTGCTGCTGCTGCATAAAACTTCCTTGTCATGTTACATTAGAATTCTTGTTGTTCAAATATTTGATGCTATTCTAGATGTGTTTAGTAACGAGTGGCTGTTACTAGAATAATGATGTTTCATGCTTCACATAAATTGTGCATTTGTCCATGCTGACAATATGCAGTCTTTCTGAATTCGATAATGTAAAAGCATAAATCTCAAATTCCTGCAGGATGGATGTATCGTGTGTCCAACAACAGATAGCACATTTTATCTGCAAAATGGAGCCATCAAAGAATGGTACCCCAATAATCCTGTGTTGAGAGTCCTTACTCCTGCCTTGAGAAATTTGTTTGTTTATCCTGTTAAAACGGACGATGAGAATATCTATATTAGCATGAGAGGAGGCGGAAAGGTTGACGCATCTGCAGAGATTGTTTTCAGCGGAAAGGCTCAACCTGGTGTCACAGCATCTGACGTCAATGTAGACGAGGTAATAGAACCAACCTAATCTTTGTTTATTTACAAACTCGTCCTACATTCTGATCTGATTCTTCTTATTTGATTTAGGTAAGAATGGTTATCGACGAAGGTCAAGAGGCCTTTGGATTCACTGGAAGGAATGAGCTGATAAATGGAAAAGCAGCAGTAATTGGTTTCCTATTGCTGTTGGATTTTGAACTCTTGACCGGTAAAGGTCTTCTCAAAGGAACAGGGTTCTTGGACTTCATTTACTCAGTTTCAGATGCTTTCAAATGAAACCATTTCACTAATGGAAAATTTCCCTACTAAGTATACATAAATTCTTACTCTTCCTCCGTCTTTTTTCCCTTTTCCTGTTTTTCTGACAAATTTGCTTTGGTTTCAAATAAGCTAAAACAAAGAATGTTGATCTTTTTATATGTTGTCCAATTTTATGGATTAGTGAATTATAGACCATTGAATTCCAGCTGAAGAATGTAGAAATCCTCCTGTTTTGTATAATATTAAATAGTATGTGCCTTTGAGTTGGAGTATTTTTTTGTCCGTCTTCCTTCCTTTGTTAAACTGTTTTCCTGGTCATGTTATAGGTTCCATTCCAACGCAAGCAAAAATTGCTAATATTATTTTCACTAAGGATTGTACAGAATGAAGATACAATTTTTACTCTCATTGAAGGGTGAAAGTGAGAAGAGAAAACTTAGTGAAATTGACTGATATATGACAATATGTTGGAACTGCGTAGCTAAGAATAAGAGGTTGAATTGCCATTTTATCATAAAATGTAAGCTCGAAGAAATTCTCCAGGGACAAACCGAAAAAGTTGGAAAGTAAATTGAGAAGAAAACCCAGGTCAACTTATCTATACGACTTATATTGTGTCTCAAGAAGGTAATTTGTGTGCACAATTTTTAATTGCAGCTAGTTATAGCTGGTTAATTACAAATTTACACTTATCTTGTAAAACATATTTATATAGATAATGCATGTAACTTAAATTTCATCACTTAAAGGGTCAAATAGAGTCAAAATACTAATTAGTAGCAGAATTCTTGTTTGCTATTTTACGTCTTGAGAGTGCGAGCCTGGCTCACTCTTCCCTTCTTCTTCCATGGTCTAAGAAAGTAATATAAATATACTATCACCACATTTTAATCGAATTATATCACTCTATTAGCTATAGTTCCTTATAGGGGTGTACAAACCAAACCGGAAAACCGCACCAAACCGAAAGGTCAAACCAAAAAAACTCGACTAAATTTGGTATTGAGTAAAAAAATCCGAACCAAACCGACATATA